TCTCTTCACCATCTTTGCAATGAATCGTGCATAGTCGCGTCTCCTTTTGCAAATGAAGACCTCCCTGAGTGATAATATGAAAGATCGTCTTTCTGATCTACTGAGCTGAAACAAGTTCCTTACCTTCTTTCCTTTTCCAGCAGCTAAACAGCGAAGTTGTCAAAGTTGACTTTGGAAGTGTGAAGAAGAATGGAACATCGCGTATGGATAATGTTGTTGTTGGAAAAGGAAAGAAGGTAAGGAACTTGTTTCAGCTCAGTAGATCAGAAAGACGATCTTTCATATTATCACTCAGGGAGGTCTTCATTTGCAAAAGGAGACGCGACTATGCACGATTCATTGCAAAGATGGTGAAGAGATAGTAGTAAGAGCAGGTGTTAAAGGTGGTTTGGCTGAGGTAAGGTTTCATGGAAGTCGTATCAAAAAGTACTATTGCCAGATGTTTGGCTAAGGGTAATTTGTTCAGGTGAACGATCGACTGGTGGACAATCCTGACCTTGTAAGGACTGCACCAGAAAACCAGGTAGGTACCTACCAACGCTACGATTCAAATGGATTTCCCATACCTTCTAACCCGCTTGGCCTATCAAGGCTTTATGGAAATTGCGTTACAGTGCATAGCCCGCTCGAACGCTTTACTTTTCAATGAACAGGCTACATCGTCTCTGAAGCTTCCTTAGCAATGCACTTGTATTCGAGCGCTGAGGAGTGGGCGCTCGCACTTGATTATAGTGAAACGTCAAAATTGCCCTACAACTCACCACTTTAGCTCGATCTGATCCAAGCTTTAGGTCTCTGTACCACACTTCAACACGTAGCGCACCACAAAAAGATTCCTATGTGAAGTGCAGTTGCTCTTTGTTCCTTCCCTTAAACTTCTGTTTCATTGATTGCTGGATTTTTTTTCAGGGTTACATTGCTATTATCACGTATGGTGCTGGCAAAAGAACACCCGATGAGTTTACGGAGGAGTTACCGCCGAAGAAAGTGTTCCTAAAAAACTATGGAGAGAGCGCATCAGAAGCACAAGTGAATTAGTCCCGGAGTGAAGCTCAGTAGCAGAGCTACTGGGCAGAAATAAAATGGTACTCAGAGAAAGTTTTACTTTCACCTTCTGTAGCTGTTTCATATACCACCTGCTTATACTGTCGGCGCTTCGCTAGGTAATTGACGTCTTCAATGTGCCAGAGCGTCTGAATTTTCTCTTTCCTGTCTATTAAAAAAAGGGTTCATAGCACAAGAGGCATAGCTTGCAACATAGCAATCAGTCGGAAGGGGTGTGGCGAGAGCAGGATGAGCCAGCCTCCGGCTGCCTTGCTCCACCAGTGGTGTTCGGTAGTGACCGGTTTGAAGAGAAAACAACCAATGGTGGCAAGGTCGCAGATGAGGTCAGTCCATTCTTCTGGAATCGACCCGACTGGTTGTGATGACGCCAACTGTATATTTGTACGTTGCTCAACTTTAACAGGAAACGGAACTACTCAGGAGGTTTGCCGGCTCCCCACGCGTCAGGGCACATCATTGGTCGGGTATTTTAGTCGAGTCTGTACGACCCCCTTTTCTGGGGTTGGTAGGACCGCCCCCCCTCCGGCCCTCTGTCCTCTTAGCAATCGAATCAGCAGCCGGTCGAGGGGGGGGGCGGCGGTAAATAGCGCGAAAGGCCGCGCATGACGATACGATCCCTCGCCTTTACCAATTCTCAGGATTTTCTCAATCTGCCACTTTTTCCAAAATTTCCCTAAAACTTCCCTCTTTTTCCCAAAAATTTTGCTGTCGATGGGGGAGGGAAGAGCGATGAATAATATTTTCGTCACATCCTTTATCTCACCTGAGGAACCAACATCCTACTGTTGCTGCGACGCGTGCTATACATTACACCAGTCGGATCGCCCGCCTTCGGCGGGCGATCCTCCTTCCGCGTGTGAAGTGGGTCCCTGGCATTCCTACTGAGGCCCAGTCGGATCGCCCGCCTTCCCCCCCCCCCCCCCCTAGAAGACAGTCGTCAAAATTTTCTATAGGAAACCCTTCTTGTACGCCATACACTGCTCGGGTGTCTCTCTTTCAAGTCATCTACCTACCCGCTGCTCAGTTTCACTCATATTCCCCGTTTTCGGTCTGCTCCGGATGCGTTTTGAGGATTTTTATCCTCGGCTTTGTCCACTTTGGCGAAAGCCCCGCCCATTGTGGGCGGAGCTTAGGTGAGGTTGTGTGTGCTCTGCAAATGCTGGCCCATGCCGCGTTTATCCCAAGCACAATCAGTTCCCTTGAAGTGAATTTCCACGAAACCCCAATTTCAGGCGGTCAGACAGACGCACAGACACACAAACAACTTCTGGTTTATATATAGAGATATATAGATTA